TGCTCTGAAAATATGGTAATTCCTTGTTATAGAAGGTGGAAAACAATTTTCACACTATTCTCAATTCGCTTGCTCCCATTGCAATTTTAGCCAATATTGTTACAACCGCTTCTGTTATGCATATAGACTTTATAAATATTATATATATTTGTCCGTACACACACTTGTAAATGCATATATGTATTTAAACATATACGAATCCATTATTCGTGTCAAAATGGTTTTTGCCAAAGCTGACGCAGTTAATGGCCTTTTGTGCGATTCGAGCTAAATCAGCAAGAAATAACAAGCTTTTGTTTTTAGCTAATTAATGCAATCCCCCTTGAAATAATCCCCAAGAACCAGAACCCACTGGCAACCCGTTCATTTGTCCGGCTCACATTGCAAAAGACAGACAGCTTCGTGCATAAAAAATGAATTGCCATCAATCTCGCGCTCTCCCAAAAACATTTGCAGGATAAAGTAGGGGAGTGGCAAAAAAAAGGTTACTAATTAGAGCCAAGAGTCGCGATTTTGCGCCAACACAAAAAGGAAACTGCTCTATGAAGCTTCTCTAGAAAAAAACCCAGAGCTGATTCTGAAAGTGATTATACCCTCTGCAAGGGCATATAGCATCTGATTAAGCCAAGTTCACATTTGTCACAGGAATGTGACAGCAAAGGAGATAGAAAGGACGAGGCGGATGATGTGGGTGATGCGACGGAAACGTTGACAAGTTGCCATGGTCAAGTTGATGGAACGCAATCTCCATCCACGACAACGCTGACCACAATTGACGCCCCTAATTGCACGCTTCCATAGGAAAATACTTATGGAACCGAAACTCATTCACGGAGAGAAAGCTCCATTTTCACTGAGGACCAAAGCGCTAATTAAGTGACTTAGCCTCTGAGGTGGGAGAAATTTATATGCTAAATGCAGTTGGCATTAACTGTACTAATTTAGAACACACTGTGAAATTCTGTCTTTAATTATTTTCCTTTCAGAAATGTTCTTGGGGAAATAATCATATTTAAGTTCCCGGACTTTAAGCGACATAAAATACTATTTCATAAAATCAGGCATAAACTGTCGAAAAATCATAGCCCAAAAAGTGCATGGCTTTTAAGCCCTTTTAAAATATTTAACCTAAAGCTATGTAATGAGATTTTCTCTAATTAAATCAAATAATCAAAAGTTTCCTCTTTAAGAGTTACATATCATCGGAGAGCAGTCAATCATCAAATTTTTGTGTAACGCAACACACCAAAATTAATCCACAATCATGTAATGAGGTTAAATAAAGTTGAAAATCGCATTTAATGCATAAGTAAATAATGCTTGCCAATAATTTCCCATTTGCATTGAACTAAATTCTGTTCCATCCCGTCTGGGATATTGATATCCAACCGACCGTCCTCATCTCAATGGAACCCCTTTTGTGCAATTATTTCAGACCCGGCTATTTGCCACATTTGCCATGCAAATTAATGCAGCTGCACTCGCTCCTCTACCAACGCCGGTTTTATTGCGTTATTTCTTTTATTGTTATTTGCCTATTATTATTGCGCTTTAATATTATATCAATTTACATTTTTTCGCGCTATGTGCTCTTCATTGTTCCAATTATCGGCAAACTCCGTTTTGTTGCCGCAAAATATATAATTGAGCAATTCAATACAAAATTAAGCCATTTCCAAATGGGTTTCAAATGGTTTAGGCTTACACGTATTTAATTGTAGCCAAGCTTTTGGCCTTTCCGTAATTCTATTACTACAAATCTTTGTTTTGCCCCTTCTGCAAAACTTTTGCACTTCTTTTTAACCCTATTGGCTTTGGCCTGAAACGCCACCGACAACAGCACAGAGCCACCTTCCCTTTGTAAGCGCAGTGGATCTTCCCCTGCATCTTTGTAACCGGGCAAACGTGGCGCACGAACTGCAATTTATAACTGCACATACGTGAGCAGTAAGCCAACGGCAACACCCATTAAACAACCCTGAGAACCACCAAACTTCCACCTCTTTGAGATACTAGCTGCTGCAGTTTTATCTTGCAAGATGTATAGGTACTTTTTAGCATATGTCGGTACTAAAAAAAACTATATCTATAAAAACTTTAAAATATATTAGGATACAAATACATAGGTTAATTACTTACTATGGTATAAGGAGTTTAAAACCCAAGTTTAAATTTGTTCCAACTAGGTGTATTATTTGTATCTTGTACCTTGCCTACGAAACATTGTATCATTCCCATCTCTGGCTGAAACCCTGTGGCACAAAAACATTTTGTTAGCTGCGCTTTAGCTCGTACCAACGCGGCTGCCTTTGCCTTTGTGCAAGGTGCCCACATCCAGTTTTTCCCTCCCCGTCCGCCCCTTAAAAATTTATCCAACCCTCTGGTCTCCAATACCCAACCCAACACTGACGGCGCTACAGTTTTTGTGATTCGACAGAGCGCAAATAAACAAAAGGGTCGCGGCGTTCCGTGCGAAAAGCGGAAAAAGGAAAAACTAAAAGAAAATGAAAAACAACTTGGAGTTAAGAAGAGGAACAGAAATACCAGGCTTGTGTGTAGCTCCACATTCAGTTGCAGTTTCAGCTACAGCTACGCCTTTAATAGAAGTTATAGTTTTACACAGCACAAAAAAAATGTTGTTAGTAAAATTCCTAAAATGGAATTATATTTACTAAAATTTAATTTATATTTAATTTAATCAAATATAAAAACCAAAAAATGAATGGTATTATTCCCAGTCAAAAACATACTTGGTTAAAGCATTTGAAAAGATTTATGACCCCTATGTCCAAATCCAATAGATTTTAAGGTGTTTATTAATCTGAAACCTCAAGACGACGTTGCTCTATTTTCTCGGTGTAGCTGCTGATGTTGCTTTTGTTGCACCGGGGTCCTGCAACAAATTTGCTGGCACAGCAGGCGAAAATATGTGCCAACACAGCAGCCACGAAGCACTATAAAGCAGTGAAATTGTGAGGTGGTGTGCCATCGGCAAAGAAGAGATTGTGGAAGGATATTTCACTTTATTGGCAAAGTCGAAGATGGAATGCGCTTATGGTCGCAGCCGGGATACAGGAGGCAAGTGACAGCGACAAGTTATTGCCACGCCGGTATGCAACTTCGGCCGGTATCGTGGTGTATCGCCAACGAAACACAAAACTTACCCTGCCCAAATGCATTTGTGTCGTACACAGATGCGTTCAAAATTATAGCACCAAAAATGCAATCCACTAGCATGATTTCATAGCCCAATATATCACACAATATCACCATTATTTATAATAATTACTCTGCCATAATTAATAGACTCACAATCAATTTTTAAATATAGTTTGCCTAATTTATTGATTTGTTATTATCTATTTATTATTATTTGTTTCTTGATTTATTATTAGACCTTTTTAAAAAGATCTTCATGGAGCACTTATTATTCAGCAATGAAAAGAAAAAGTCTAGAACTATGAACTACATAAATCGGTGCTACTGTGTCGACCAGGGCAATATCCATGGGAGAGTGCCACCCAGACGCATTCATCAGCTACCTGTGCACCTCAGCAATCGTCAATCTTTCGGGCGTCCTTCACTTCTGCCTTTGAGTGACTGACAGGCCCTCATCCCAACCTTTAGGCCCCTTGTGCTTGGCTTTAATTAAGCGTCCCATTTGCTCAGAAATTGCATCTGCAGCAGGTACACACAATTCGCTGAGGAAATATTTACATTCCATGTATCCACTCAGAGTCTAAACGTTCGCGTTGCTCGCAAAGCTTCGGCTTGAGGTTGAGGTTGGGGTCGAGTTTAAGGTGGCTTTTGAGATGTCATAAGCAGAAATCGCATCTTGGACACTCGAAAATTGTCGAGCTTAATTGGATGCAAAATTAATAGTTAAAGCATTTAGCGTTGCCATGGTGGTGGTTGTGGATATGGCTCAGCTGTCATCAACGTCGACTGCCCCTGGTTACCTTTAAGCAAGAGGACGGACAATCAAAAGGCCGCACACCAAACAAAAATAAACTGGTGCTGTTCATTAGGAGTACAAGATTTTCCATATCTTATCTTCTTACAATATATGATAGCTTATATAAGTCCAAAAAGTATTTATAATTTTTCGAGGTCAGAAAAAAGTGTATTTCCATTTATATTTTACACTTATTGTACGCCTACAAAATATTAGTTAAACTATAAAGAATATAAACTATTTGTCTTCAAAACATTTATAATTTGTAAATGCTGACCTTGGTATTTTGCCTAATAGTCAACAAGTTATAGGAAAAGTAAAAGGATGTGCGCTAACACGAATTTCACATAAATTCAACTCAGGACGGGTATTCAAAATTCAATTAAGTTGTCCCAGAAACAGCCTATTGAATTCTCTCTCTTGCTCTCGTTTTGAGCTTACGGTCGTGTCAGTTTCCTGTCCCTATCACTGTCTCTTTCTGCATGCCAAAACATGCGTGTCAAAACAATTGTCATTCAGTGTTGCTTGGGCTTTAGCTAGAAGTTCAAATCACTTCTCAGTTTAACCCTCCCTTGCAATTATGGCCCAGTGACATGTGTTAACAGTCAGAGCCTCCAACTCCCTTTGTCCCCGTTTCGTTCAACATTTCCGCCAGATATTTTTGCCCATTTCCTGCAGCCTTTCAGCTTGAAATCAATATGGGGAGAATGTGTGAGAGGTTAGTTCTGCCATCAACGCCTTGATTACTGCTGTCATATTATTTTCACACTTGAAATGCTGCTCGACTTTGCTCGTACATATATCATTGCCGTATAAATCGATCTGGCATCGGCTCTTGGTCATTATCAGCGCTGGCCATTATGTGACACTCGGCTGTCACTTTACATGCTGCAGGTCCTTGCGTGTTCACTCTCTAATATCCCGACATCCTTTCAGTTGTCAGGGTATGGCCATTCCCTTCTGCCCTCTTTATGGGCAACGCTGGGCCAAGGATTTTGTAGTTTTCATACATAACGTTGAAATATGTTTTACACAAAATTGAACACAGTATAGTTTAGATGGCTTTGCTCAAAGAATCAACCCCCATACATTACCCACTTAATTTACAAATTCTATACACTAAACACTACCAAATCAAAGATGCAGTTAACCATATATTGGATTTTATTCATGTTTCTCTGTGCTGTGCAGGTAAGTTGAATAATTTAGTTGGAGCAAAATGATGAAAATAAACATACAATCCGAAGATGCCGCTCGAAATAAAAGCTAGATCCGTGCCAGACTTGAAGCCCGATGAGACACAAGACGCCAACGCTCCTTCACATATCAGGCGTATGCCACGGAAAATTCCCGATATGCCTATGGATCTACTCACGATGCACTCCCCCTGTGACATGGACTCGAGGGGCAGGCAGAGCTATGTGTTTGCTTTTCCCAACCATTGCATTTGGGCCTTCAATAATCGGTACTTGAGCGAAGGCCACTTTCGCATCTTCAAAACTTATCAGGTGGAAGGGTTTTTCTTTGGCCAGTACTACGAGCGTCTAAAGCGTTACGAATTCGACCCACATACCTACGATTACAACTTGTAACTTCAACCTTCATCGATATAATTTGTATAATAAAATTATGATTAATGTATTAACAGCTTGGTAGTTTATTATTTTATTATTTATCTATTATTTTCAAAGTCAGCGTAGTGTGACCAAAGTTTAGGTCATTAAATACGCGTCGAACGACACTAAAATTATCTCAATCCGATACTCCGTTAAAAATATATTCAATAAACCAGAAAAATACGCCATTTTTGAAATGAGAACGTTGGGGATTCGACTAAAGAATTTTTATTTAAAAAACTCAAATATTTGCGAATTCTTTTATTTTGCTCAACGTGAACAAATTAACACTTTCAAACCTTGCAAAGCATTTTAAAATGTATTTTACTTATTGTACTATTTATTTTGTAAGCACTGGAAACTACGTTGCTATAACTAGCATTCAAGTTACTTATCATATTTACAACGTTTCCCATCTAGAAGTCAATTTTCTATACATTTTCCATTTTGACAGGCATCAAATTCTCAACTCTGCGCAAGCGGAAATGTGATATTTTTGAAAAGATTTTTTTTTCGTTTTGTCCCGTGGAAAATAGGAAAAAGTGTGCGGAGTAACTGATGTTCAATTTCCCACGACTCTGACCCATCTCACAAACATTTTATGATGCCAGAACCCCCAGAAACAGTTAAAAATTTTCTTATTATTACTTCATTTATCGTGTCTCTGTTTTAATTGCGGCCCCTGATGAAACATAATCAATCAACTTCATTCATTTGGGTGAAAGCAAATAAGGTGCAACGCCTTAAGTGAATTGGATGGCGTGTGTTTGTTGGGGGGCTCGATTTTTATCTGCCAAATTCCTGGCTCGGATAACATTTGTGTGTAATTTGTAATTTTGCGGATCATCAATCAGCTGTCGTCAGCTGTCGAGCTGCGATTTGGTACTGTGGATAAGCAAAATTAGATGAAAAGCAGGGAACAGCTCTTGTTTCACTTTGATTTATCGATGACTTGGCAAAACAAAAAGTTTTCTTTTTAATTACAGATTTTGCAGGAACTTGTCCTTGCTTATGCAAAGAATTAATTTTTTCATTGTCTTTGTGTAACCATTAGTCATTACTGCTATTTCCGTATCTTTTGTCTAAGTTATTTATAAAATGTATCTTGATTTTCGGGAGATAAACTTTATAATTTTGGTTTTTTTTCGGAACCATAAATTTAATTAAGCTTTTTAATCGCGATACATATTTACAACATTGAATTCCAGCTTTACTATATTAAAAAAACCTATAAAAAGGTTAATTCTGTAATTTCAACGTGCGTTTTTCTATCTTGCGGTTTGGTTTTACCCAACTATGCGTCTTGCAAAAGTTATGTGTACTTTTTTCGCAATTTCGCGTTAGGTTAAATTTGAGTTCAACTTGTATGTATATTACATATATTACAATTACATATTTTTGATAAATTTTCCTAAAAATTTGTTAAAAAAAATTAACGCGAATAAAATAACCAAGGTTGTGCTACATCACAAAAACATTACAATGAATTTCAACTTTTTAAATATATGAGACACTCAAAGAATATTTATTTTATTTACTGCTATAAACGATAAAGGGAAAATTGTGTAGTTTTTTATTGAAAATTAATCAAAAATTCTCAAGTAAAATTTTTATACAAATACCCTCAATGCAGAACAAGAAAACACAACCACAAACAAACTGTCAGATTGGGATCTGAACTGCCTGTCATAGAAAACTCAGTGCCTTTTTGAGTCGAACAACTCAGTTGCTCAGAAACTCTCGCCTCGGCAACCTTAATATCGCCTGGCTAGCAGTTCCGGAATTAGTTTTTTTTCACATATTTTTATAAAAGATGACCCAGCCGCGTTTGGTTACTCCGCTCCGGCGTTCCGCGGTAGGCAGTTACCACGAGGGCGTGTTCCGAATGATGACCACACTGAACGGCGATAAGGCGGAGCAGCATCGCCAAAGTACCCAGGAGTCCATCGAGGGCAACGAGACCATCCGCAATTGCCTGGAGATCTACAATGGCAACAGGCTAAGCAAGGACAACGGCTGGAGTCTTGCGCTCATCGATTCGCTGGCCAATCTGCTGGAACACCATCACAAGCGGATGAGCAACTTCAAGATTGCGGCCTCCCCGCTGGAGGCCTCTTCCAAGGCTTACGGACTTCGTGTGGACTCCATCTTCCTGGATGCCATGCGCATTTCAGCTGGCTTAAGTGCCCGTAAACTGACAGATAAGCAAATAAAACGCTGCCGGGAATGACGATGGCCCCCAGAGTGAACAGGCGACTGGCGAGGGGCAAGATGCAGGAGACCCAAAAGAGACTCCCAAATCAAAGAGGCAAAAGCGAAATGTGTCCACCGTGACCAAGAACAAGGACACTCTAAACAGCCGTCTGGATACGACACCGTTGCAGGATCCTGTCTTTGGCAAACTAAACTCTACAGTGGGCTCCATTATCGCATCAAATCGCCTGATGCACAATATCCTACCCAGTTTGGACTCGGAGTTGCGTCTGCGCACCACATACAGATTCTGGGACAGCGAAGAGTGCGCCGTGGAGATCCAGGATCACACTGCGCTCAATGCAGACATGAAACATTGGCCACCTGAGTCGCTCGTTAGCTGCGCCTGGATTCACAAACTTCTGCCGCATGGTAAAAGATTAAATCTGCGTCCGCTGCAAATCGGAAGTGCTCCAAATCCCAAGGCGTCCGGCGACAATGCCGACGGTATGTGCGTAATTGAGATCTCCATGATCTCTGACATCGACGCCGAGTGTGAGCCCATGCCGGACTTTGATGGACCACCCCCGCTGGTCCTGGAGGTGGACTCCAGTGAGCTGCACATACAGACAGAGTTAATCAATGATTTGCGACCGCTAGATGGCAACTCCAAGCTGGAGTACTCATACAGGCCAATGGAGCAAATTTCCCATTTCTGGGCCGGACCAGCGCACTGGAAGTTCAAGCGCACCCAGCCGCGCAGCACATTTTCCCAAACCAATGGTCAGGCGGATAACCAGGCCGTTCGCAATCCACGGCCCAAGAAGTCGACGCATCTGACCGCTAATCGTAGGAACAAGGCAGTAGCTTACGGCAATGTGGCGGAGAATGTCTTTCAACCACTGGATGCCGCAATTAAGAAGCGTCGTGTGAACTTTCAGAAGAAGTGGGACTCGCGCAAACTGGTGCTGCCCACGAAGTTCAACTTGGATCCGGACTATTTCTTCAAATACGACTCGGCGCCCAGCATAAAATTGTCACAGCGTGCGGGACAGCCTGATTCAGATGAGGGCAGAGATTGTGGCATCGACATGGAAACTGGCATCCATCACGATAAAGACAACGACCAGAAGCTATTCAATAACGAGCACCGACGCCGTCCCCGCCAACGTGAACGTTATTGCGGCGATCGCCGCCAAGCAAGGGGCCGAGGGCATGATGGATGTGGATGCGGGCGAGATGGATCTCATTATCTTCGAGATGGGTACAGAGTTTGAGGGTGCGCCTTCGCAGGTCGCAAAGCGTGCAGGTGATAGACGTGGAGAATCTGAAAAGGTCCTGCAATTCCCTGTAAGGAGACCATTCAACGAAAAAGGACGAACGTTATTCAAGGGGTGTACAAGGAGCTACCCAACCTGTTAAACACCAAAACGTCTGATTCGCTGTCCCCGTCGGTGGCCTTCAATGCAATTATGCATTTGGCCAACGACCAGAAACTGCGCCTTATTCCACAAGAAAACTTGGAGGACTTTCAGATCCGTCAAATTTTGGATTAAATTAATCTCTTAACTTTTATCAGAATTCCCAAAAAAAATACCCAGTCGAATCGGATTTTTATAATGATTTTATAAATTATTTAATAAAGAACAAAATACACTTCCAGAGGGTATTCTACTTTTGTGTGACATTCTGTCCGTTTGTCTGTTCCTACGCTAACTTGTCCTCTCAGTCTTAAAGTTTAATAAATAAAAAAATATATATAACTTTGGTGTTTTTAAATTTATACTTATTTGCATTCATTCTTGTTTATTTTTGTGCTGCGTACTTCTTACCCACCAGCTTAGTCGTTTCAATTTAAATTAATTTCAAGTTGACCAACCAAGCTCAAGTTTAATTTCCCCTTGCGGGAGAGGGACAATCAAATGAGATTTTTTGTTTCAAATTAAAAATCAAGTGCCTGGGACCCTCAAAAAAAACAAAACTTTAGGATGATAAATATTGTCGGTGAGAAACATGATGAATTCCTTGTGCAAATATTTTATATCATTAAAATTTTAAAGAATTTCTTTCTATTTCTTTCTAGCTCACGTTAAGAGTTTCTATGCCGGAAAGCTTTTCTCCTTCGTTTTTGCTTTACGGGCAAAACATTATTTTGCCTTGTTTTGCTTTCTGGCAGGAAGCTTTATTTATTTATTTCCGGAAACGTGCCCTTGAGATTAAAGTATTTCCCCTTCCCTTTTTTCCCCCCCAAAAGTGTTCGACCATCTGTATGTAACTATGTATACTGTATATATGCAAACCGAGATACATATTTGTATCTGTGCGTTGTTCATTTGTTCATTAGGTTCCTTTGCGCCGTCCTTCTCAGCATCTTCTGCAAAATTTCCCGCGCGTGTCTGTTTTGTCAAAGTTGTTCAAAGTTCCCCCACCCACTCAGTTCACCGCCAGGTCACGCCTCTCAAAAGTGTCCTAGGCGATGGCGGTTGGCTTTGCTTCAGTCGATACACTCAGAAAAACTTTTACCTGTGAATTTAACACTAATACTTGGGCCACCTCTTTTCAAACTCATATGTCAAAGAAATACACCAAAATTAGGTCGAAGTTCCCAGTTGAAAAGTAAATTTAGTCGTTACACAAATATTCTTATAAACGTAAAAAACTTATTTTATTTGCCTTCTACTTCAATTTCTTAAAATTTTTTTGTTATCGATTACTTTTTTTGTCCTCAACAATTGCCAATCTTTTTTTATACCCTTGCAGAGGGTATTATAATTTCAGTCAGAAGTTTGCAACGCAGTGAAGGAGACATCTCCGACTCATAAAGTATATATATTCT